CGGCCGAGCCGAGCCGAGCCGAGCGGGAACGAGCCCAGCCGAGCCGAGCCGGGCTGAGCCGAGCTCAGCCGAGCCGAGCCCAACCGAGCCGAGCGGCCCCGGGGCTGCCGGCGGCGAGCGCTGGGGCTGTGCAGGGCCCTGTGAGGTTGTGCCGGGTGGTGTGCGGCTGTGCGCGGGTCTGCGTGGTCCTGTGCGGCTGTGCGCGGGTGTGCGCCGTTGTGTGCGGTTGTGCAGGGCCGTACACGGCTTTTCGGGCGGCTGCGTGCGGTTGTGCACGGACGGGCGTGGTTGTGTGCAGTTGGGCGTGGTTGTGTGCAGTTGTGCACGGCTGTGCAGGGCTGTGGGTGGTTGTCCAGAGCTGTGTGGGGTTGTGCCTGGTTGTACACGGTTGTGCATAGCTGTGTGCAGTTGTCCATGGTTGCGTGCAGTTGTGAAAAGCTGCGCATGCCCGTGCACAGTTGTGTGTGGCTGTGCATGGTTACGCGTGGTCGTGTGCAGTTGTGCAGGGCTGCGCACGGTTGTGTACGACTGTGCAGGGATGTGTGCGGTTGTGCACAGTTGTGTGTGGTTGTGCACAATTGTCTGCAGTTGTACCCGGTTGTGTGCAGTTGTGAAAAGCTGTGCACACCCGTGCAAGGCTGTGTGCGGTTGTGCAGGGCTGTGTGCGGATGTGCACAGCCGTTCGCAGTTGTGTGTGGTTGTGCACAGTTGTGCATGGTTGTGTGCAGTTGTGAAAAGCTGTGCGTTGTTGTGCGGGGCTGCATGGGGGTGTGCACCGTGTTCTGCAGCTGTACACGGCTGTGCGTGGTTGTGTGCGGCGGTGCGCAGTTGAGCACGGTTGTGCACAGCTGTGAAAAGCTGTGCACACCTGTGCATGGTTGCGTGGGGCTGTGCGCAGATGTGCGCAGCCATGCACGGTTGTGCACAGTTGTGTGTGGTTGTACACGGTTGTGCATGGCTGTGCGCAGTTGTGTGCAGTTGTGAAAAGCTGTGCGTGGTTGTGCAGGGCTGTGCATGGCTGGGTATGGTTGTATGCTGCCATGCACAGTTGTGCATGGCTGTGTGTGGTTGTGCACTGTTCTGTGCAGCTGTGCGTGGTTGTGTGCGGTGGTGCGCAGTTGAGCACGGTTGGGCGCAGTTGTGCAGGGTTGCGCGCGGCTGCGCAGGGCCGTGCACAGTTGCTCGCCCTTGTGCGCGGTTGCGCGCGGCTGCGCGAGGCTGTGCGCGGTTGTTCGCCCTTGTGCGCGGTTGCGCGCGGCTGCGCGGGGCCGTGCGCGGTTGTTTGCCCTTGTGTGCAGCCGTGCAGGGCTGTGCGCAGTTGCTCGCCCTTGTGCGTGGCTGCGCGGGGCCGTGTGCAGTTGCTCACCCTTGCGCGCGGCTGTGCGCGGCTGTGTGTGCCGCCGGCGCGCCGCGGGGGGGCGTC